GGGGTGGGGTGGGATGGGGTGGGGTAGTTTCATATACCACACCTGTTCTATGTCTATACCAGGGAAGAGGTTTGAGGATGAAGGATGACACGCGTTCCGAAGCGCTCATATTCCTGCGTTCCAAAGCGACTACCTCACCGGCCAGGAGCTACTAGTAGCGTCCTTGCTCCTAGTGGCGATGCCCTTTTTCCTAGTAGCTTCTTGCTCCGGTGTCCCATTGTTGTGACTGTCTTGAAAAAACCTCTGCCGTGACATCTCGGGTCAAACTCCGAAAGCCACACCGTTGGGTATGCTGAGGCCCTGGCGCGAAAAAGGATCCCCATGCAGCTCCTCGCACGGCAGTGGGAGCCAGGTCTTCAGACAACGGTCTTTCTACCTGAGGCCTCCAAACCAACCCTGCAAAGCGGTCCCTCACCGTGTCCGGAGCCACCTCTCTTCCACGCCCTCGAGTGGCGGTCCCAACATCCATCCGATGCACTCTTTCCGCGCGAATTTGGGGGGTCGCTCAGGGCTGAAAAGGTCTGTGAGAGTTAACAGCACATGATGGGACTATGTGGGACCGATGCTGCCAAGATCAACTTCTGATGGGCCATGGGAGCGCAAAGCTACTAAGGCCTCTGCTCCAAAATTCCAACAATGGTTTACAGTTTACAGGCTAAGTTGGTTGGGGCCTGTCAACACCATTCCACCATTTCACCACACACCAGCCGGCACCCCAACCAAGCTCGTCTCGTGTTCAGACTTCCCGAGTCGGCCGAGCGACTTCACCACGCCCCCGACACGAGGAACGACGGGAACGACGGGAACGACGGGAACGAGGTCACGGCACCGGGTCTCCACGCCGAGGTGTCTCCGCGTTCCAGCCTGGAGGGGCTGGTGACTTCATGGGAGCACCGTTTCAGGTCCGCTTGCAGCGGACTCCGTTCACACCGAACGGAACGGAATCCGCTAGATGCTGTCGTCCCTCTGTGCTTTTGAAAACACCTAAAGCACCTTCAGTGGCCGCGTGTGGGAGAAAACCGGCTGAGCTCCTGACCTTCCCATGGAAGTGGCAGCAGATGCCTGGGTGACATCACAAGTCTGCGGGTCAAACCCCCCAACAGCCCAGTGAAAGGGGGGTGCAGCTCTATGTCTATACTGTATATGTATGATCAATTCGCACCAATTCGCAACCCTGTTGCACTGCCCCCAAGGCCACCACTCCACCCATGGATGGGAGTCTAGGCCTCAATCAGCGGTGAGGCCGCGGCCGATTTAGGAAACACGGGACTGTTCTGTCCCTTGTTGGTGGCGCTGTTTTGGTAGGTACTTGGCTTCGCATCAGTTCCAGTAATTCGCTTGAGCTAATGTTCCAAGCTCCTACACTACAGCATCACTTCTGCAGGTGAAGAGCATGTCCCCGCGGCTCCTGCAAAACAAACACAACAAAAGGAAGAACTTCGCAGAAAGGTGGTTTGTGAACCCACCAACGATCTAATGGTTGTATCATCTTCAAGGCACCCTTTGTGAGGTCATGCACGATCTTGGAGCAGCCAGGGCACATCGTTTCACTCTGCGATCGTTGCACCCCACCTAGTGCATGCTGAATGACGAGAAAGCACCAAGGAGACAAACTGCTATTGGGCAGTGTACTGACTGTTGTCATTTGCAACATGAATTGATCGCATTGATACTGTTGAAGGAGAGAAGAAATCCTGCACTACCTAAAGAGAAGAGTACCACGGTACCTCCAGCACAACATCTGGATCCAGTAGGCATATGAGGTACTTTCTACATCAGTGGCAAAATCGAATCTCGAAGAAAGCCACGTCGTCCATCTCCCTATGTGAGACACACGAAGTGCTGGGCCAAGTTTCCACCAAGCGATGCCCTTTGCTCCTAGTAGCTTCTTGTTCCTACTAGTATGGCCAGGATCTAGTAGATCCTTGCTCCTCGTAGCGATGCCCGGGTTCCTAGTAGCGATGCCAGGAGCTGCTAGTAGCGAACAGTGCTCCTACAGTGCTACAGGGCGGCAGGAAATCCCAGTCGGCGAAAAGGATTCCCGGTGAGGCGACCGCCCGACGCTGGACGCGCCAAACAAGCGGAGAAACCCCGGCGATGGCCCGTCCGACTTGGCTCGGCTCAGCCTGAAGCGCTCATCGAAGGCAGCACCAAGCCTGCAACGGCCGGCAGTCCGGCACACAGGCCCCTTCAATCCTCAACTGCAAAGCTTGCCCAAGTGGTCCACCCAGGCCAATCAATTCTCCACATGTGTCATGCTCTCTTGACCCCAAATTGCTTCGGTGACGGTCCAGCTTCCCATCCACCTCTTTAAGGAGTATTTTCAGGTACTTCTCTCATAATGGGAATGATTCCCCTACTAAACCAATGGAGCTCTTTCCAACCTCCCCTGGCCTGCCGAGGGCCGCCGGGGCACCCGCCCATGCGGCCCACCCTGCGCACCCCGCAGTCGCGGCCAGGGCCTGGGATGCGCGTGGTCCGGCCGTTCGACTCGTCACGTGGGGCTGGGAGGAAGCTGTTGCGGTTCGTTGGAGTCGTGTATATACTCCGCGGGATGGTGTACATGTTCTATCTATGTATGTAGGTTGGTCCATGGTGCTAATGTGCCATGTGGGGTGCCAGTCAAACACCTCAAGTTGATGGCATTCTATTCGAGGTTTGTTCCACGCGCAGCATGAGAGGCCGACGGAGGCGTCATCTCTTCCGGCCTGGGCATTTGGGCATCGAAAAAGGGTCTGGGTGCAGACTCCATCAGCTAATGTAGACTCAGCACAAAAAATAGTGTAACATATGTATATATATATACTCTGTAGAATATATATATATATAACTTCCAGAATGGAGGGTTCATTGATCCATAAGTCTATATTAAGTCACAGAGACTTCCAACTCCGCTGATTCCAATCAATCGCTCATCCGATGCCAAGCTGGACGCGGCTTTTCCGCTCGGGGGGTAAGCTGGGGCCAATGATCGACTTGGGAAAAGGAAAGAAGCAAATTGTACATCAAAAGGCATGACCTTCGGAAGAGCTCGGTATATAAAAACATTAAAAGAATATGACCTACACGTACAGTATCATCACTCGAAGATGCGGAAGTAGAGCAGGGTTTGTTCTTTTGGCACCAGGTTCCACTTGCGGACAGGGGAGCTTGGTCACTGGGCAACCCGGACACTTCGGCCATGGACGACTCAGTCTGCACAATGGCGGGGCCTGAGACCCCGCGGATAAACACGCAGAGGTCCAGTAGCAGCTGGTCCAGCAGGTCCAGAGGTCTCAGTAGGTTGGTCTCCACCCTAAGAGCGATGGCCTTCGAGATTCTCTGATGTGGTCTTTTGAGGGCAACCCCCTGACCTTGTCCCGAAGTCTTCAACGAGATGTGCGCGATCGAAAAACAAGACGAGAGGGTGTCATGGTGCGTGTCTCCCTGCTACAGCGAACCACTTGTGGGCCACCGTGAAGAAGAAACAGTAGATCTGAGAGCGCCTCCCTCCAATCCCTTTCCTCCCCTCTTCTGCGAACAACCAAGAAAATCTGCGAGAAAAAAGAGACAAAGCATCTAGGTAAGCGATTTGTGTCTGAGGAAACTCACCACACAGCGTTGCACAGGTTCTTCGAGATGTGCAAAGTTGGTCATTTCTTTCGAGATCTGACCGTTGAGGATGGTACACATTGCACAGGGGACTGCGTTCTCATCTTGCAGGTCGCTAGGAAACAGATCGGACAAAGAATGAGGAGACTTTGGCCTTGCAAATTGCATGAAAAGTTGTGATCAATCTTGCCAATGTCCAATTGTCAGTTGTACATTTTGCCATGTTCAGTGATACATTCCTAGTCCGCTTGAAAACCACCTGCAGGTCGATGCACATCAAGCGTGCTGGACCCAAGCTTAATTTCTTCGTTGCAAACAAACGACTGGGAATATCATGGATTATCTAATGATTGATTAAAGACTACCTGAGAATATCCAGGAACATGGAGATCACGCGCCAAGACATTACAGCTCTGGTCAGAAACCATTGAGGCAACATCCCCAAACGAATTTCCATTCGCATTGCCATGACTCGCGCCCTCCTTGTGCGCACCAGGTCCCCGAGCGCCGGGAAGACTGTCGCCCTGGCGCCAGGACACTCAGTTACAAAGGCTTCAAGCGGTGGTTGGGGGATGGAGCCTGCACCAGCTTCGACACCGTCCTGGTTGCTGCTTCCCCACCTCACAAGAAATCCAGCTTTGGCTCTGTACAAAGGGAAGTGTTTTTCGAGAAGATCCCTCGCCCGCGCTTTGCTGACCCACGCCCCCGCCGCCTCCCTCCTCCCCTTTCTTCGTGGAGCGACGGCCCACTTGACCTGTTGGGAGCAGCAAAACAGCTGTGATTAACGAGAATTTGATGGAGCAAGCAGAGCAAACATCACCTGCATGGGATGGTTTGGCTGAAAGTGTATCGGGTGGACCAAACCAAATATCATGCGATATACATTGGGTCTTGATTTACATAAGTAATTTGAAGCACCTGTCTGGGCATATAGATGGAGGGATAGATTTCTAGTAACTCTAGTCTAATAGACCCTGATGTCCCCATGCGGATGGATCCGGATGTGCATCTGAAACTGCCTGCTGCCAATGGCTTCAGGATGAAGGAAGGTTACGAGCTGCACCACAGATTGTCTGGGTCTGTTTCGCACCATAGAAATGATGCAATTCGTCTCTGTGTGCGGCATGTACGGTTTCAGGTCAGGTACTGCTTCCCAAGACATCGGAAGACTCTTCGGATGAGAAGTGACTCTATGGACGCATCCCATCTGCCGTGCTTCGACCACGCAAAAGAAGAAATTCTCCAGGTCATATCACCCACCCAATGTACGCTCCTCGAGCCTTCCACCCTTCCGTTCCAACGGTCACGGTGCACGCTCCGTCCGCCTTGCAATTGCCGCCGCGACCTCCGGAGCCGACCGGTCGCGGAGCCCCGAACCGGTCGGAGCGGAGCGAAGCGTCAGCGGAGCGGAGCGGCCTTCATGACACATACCAAGGGGGTGGAGACACCAAGCATCCAAAATCACCAGCAGGGGTGTCTTTGCAAACCTTGTGGGGTGAATGCTTCTTGATGCATCCACAATGTAGGATAGACAGGGTACGATTGATGTGATGCAAAAAAAGTATTGAAAATGTGGAAGTAGCATGCAAACAGGTTCAAACCAACCCACATGGTCATGCCAGTGTAGCTGTCTTCCAAAATTTGCTCCATGTGTTCCCTTAGCTGAAGCTGGAAGTGAATCAGAAAGGGCAGAACGAAAAGGACACTAGAATCACTAGAATGGACCATAAACCGGTGAATGAAAACAGGAAGAAGAAACGGAAGATTGTGAAAGGTCAACAAGAAAAGAGAGAAAGACAACAACAATGAAAAAGTAAATGAAAAACACATCCAACCGAAACCAAGCAAGACAACCAAAAATACACTTCAAAAGACATCTTTTTGCTCACTCCAAGGCTGCCGGAGTACAAAATCCAACGAAGGCATCCACCCCACTGGGATTCCACCGGGCTTTTGCTCGCAAAACCGGGGTCCCCCAGCAGCATCTGAGCCACTGGATCGAAGAATCCGACCTCACGAGAGCGGTCCCTGCGCCGCTGTTCTTTGGGAGGGAGGATGGATGGCAGCAACGTCTCCGCGGATCCCGAAAAGTGGGTTAAAGCAGAAGGCACTACCCAAGGACGTCTGTGAAGTTTTCGGAGAATAAACCATCAACCCGACCAACCCATTGGGGGCTATTGCAATTCACCCGCAACACGGGGCTCGGATCCCCGTCATCCACTAGAATCTTACCCACCTTACCTGACCCATTCCATGAAAGAATCGGCATGTCAAATAAGTTGAAGCCGATGGAGAACCCACCAAAACCACTCCACAAGAGAAGATATCGCCACTGACTCCGCAAGCTTCTTCAACCACCGTTTTCGGCACCGGGACCACTTCGGCCGCCGGTGACACGTTCACCGTCACCGTGTGAGGCGCGTGAGGCATGACTCGCCTGCCGGATGTTGGGCACATCCACCCCCTCCAGCGCCTGAGAGGCCAGAAGTCTTCGAGAGGAAAACCGTCACCCAAGGCACATTCACCGGAAAGTCACTTTCACAGTTGGTGTCGGTTCAACGGCCTGAACCCTGTGGAAATTTCATTTTGGGGAGGTCCCATATAAAAAGAGAAGAAACGATGTCCAATGTCTTGGAGGGTTGAACCAATGTCACTTGTCAATCTACAGTATTTAGGGGCTCACAAATAATGAGGAACATGTCATCATGTCCCTTGCAATTTGGTCAACTAAAGCCCCAAAAGAATCGCTTCCCGCTGTGGAAACTGAGCCTGCGGTGGAACAAGCTCCCGGAGGAACTTTTTCACAAGCTCCCTGGAACTGCCGAGATGGACTCGGTACCCTTACAGAAATTCGCGGTAGGCCAGAGGATTCAGGGATTAAGGTAGGCTTCAACGAATTTCAATGCTTTGTGTGACATCCCAAGTCTTCAAGTCCAGGTTTCCATCTGCATTCTACTAGCACTTGGCCACCCCAAAAAAAGAGTCCCCGCAAGTCACACACTTTAAAGGTGCGGAGTCCATTGACGGAGCGCTTCACGGAGCCTGCATGAAGGTCTTTCGCTTTCGGATGGAGTCGAGCGCTTCACGGCTCAGGGGCACATAGCCCCGATTGTAGAGTTCCTGCAATCGGGCACATCACATGGCTGCAGTATAGATTATTCATATATTAAGTATGGTATATACAATATATATATATACAATATATATATATATACAATATATATATATACATATATCACATATATGTATATATATATATACAACAGTTCGTTCAACAGAAAGGCATAAGAGCTTCCTCGTTGATGGTGTTCTTATCCACCATCTTAATGAGCGTGTCGATGTCGGTCACACCCACTGCCTGGGGACAGCGCTGGAGGTTGGACGAGGTTCCCACCGTGGGAAGGGTCCTTCCAGGACCCAGGAGCTGGGCCCAAACGCAAGCGAAACTCACACGAAACCACTCGGAGCTCCATGCAATGCGCGAACTCACACTCGGGAACGCCCGAAGATCTGCAAAACCTAAGCCAAACACAAGAGAAAGAGTCGAAAGCACGGAGGCACTATCATCTACCCAACCGCACGGTCAACCGAATTGCCAGTGCGAAAGAACTGAACAAGCAAAGCGAAGTGCCAGAAGCGCAGCTCTGGATGGGTCGTGTCCCCTTGCTTTAGCAAGGCCAGCCAGTCGAAAGAAGCAAAAACTACCCAAAGGCAGCAACCACGCCAAGAACCAACACCAGCCAAACATGCAACCTATGAGTGACAACTTATTTTGTGTTTGTTATGTTGTTGTGCGTTGACACATGGTCTTCGGTGCCTAATGACTCTTCCTCCTTCACCGGCCGAACGCCCGGAGGGCTCGCCTTGAGCTTCTCCTGGACGCGCACCACGTCGCTGCGCCCACGTCGGCGAGGCTTGGACCATTCCGGCCTACACCGTGCGAGCTCGGTCGTGGGCGAAGCCTCGAATGGAAGAATTGGTTCTCATGAGACCTAAGGCACCTGGTCGTGCTTGCCTTGGGATTCTCCCAACTCTCTAACAGTGACATGCATGTGGTCTTTTCTGCTGAAAGCTCAAACATGTCTCACATCACAAATGATGCGAAGAGACAACACTTGGCTTTGTAACTTTGCTCAAAGTGGTACGCTTTGCGTGCCACCTAACCGCTTTGGTCCAAGATCTCCCACAGCATGTTTAAAGCATTAAGTCCCTAAATCACCAGCAGCCTCCACTAAGGTCTCC